GTACCATGTTACGTTTTTATATTTTAATTGAATCATTACTGTATAAACGGTTTTATTATTTTTTAATACACGATATTATACTGATCGACCGTATGATTTATACTATTGTTATACATAAAATGAACGCAGGTACCTGTATTACAAGCTGGTATAGACTACCTCATATTTTAGATTGTTTTTTTTTTTTCCGTCCAATTCGTGTATTACACCCCTGTTACGAGTCCTTAGACTAGCTAACATGGCTTTATCATAAATCCCGCTCTGCCCTCCCCTCTCATTAAGAATCTTTAGATCCGTCCCTGACGATAGTTCGCGATATAAAAATAAAGGTTCAACCTACGTATATCATTATTACTATTATTATTATGTTTCGTTCGTAAAATCGACTTTACGACCCCCGGAGGAATAATATTTTAGGCAAATGTATTTTTAACGAAACACAATGTTTCTACTTACCAATTGACGAAAAAAGAAATATATATATATGTATATACATATTAATACCTAATAACGCTGATGGTAATCAAAATGCAAAGGACCCGGGGCTTACCGGACAAAAGTTTCGGGAAATTATTATTTTAAGTGACCCCGTGTACGTAATCGCAATACTGTTACGTAATAGTCTAGTATATTGCCCGACCAATCCGTTTTAACGATTTAACTCACGAAACACAGGAGCGAAATTTCGATGAAAAATCTAGGGATGCTGAAGCTCCCAGGAAAAAAAAACAACTAGTTTACTAACTAACTCGTGGAACATAAGGCACAAGTAGCCCAAATATTTTCAGGTGCTTAAGACCGCATGAAATATTATTAGTTAAGCATGCTGTATACTTCTTATTCGCTCTATAGGGACTTGATTTGGAAGGCTTGGGTGAGTTTTTGGAGAGGGGGCTAACCCTTTCAAAGCCATTTCCCCTGTGTATATTTATACTCGTGGGATCTATGCATGACATTACGCCTGCAAACATCCGGACATTTTTTGAAATCTATTCGATATTTTTCGATTTATGAACCTATGAGTTTGACCGTTGTCCTGTTTAATCCGTTTTTTTATAGGATAAGGATAACTATAATACCTTGTATGAATTCAAAATAATACCACACGCCAAGTGTAACGTAACGATACGAGTGTGTCACGCATGTAATAAAACATTAATTACGTGAATTGGTTTGTTCCGTTTTTTTCGCTGGAAAACACTGTGTTACTAACGATAAACCATTGTAAACCAACATTGATTCTTGGCGAACGGACAACAATGATTGTTTAAAAAATATTAAAATAATAAAAAACGGTTGTCAATCACAACCTTATTTTTAATCTTACAATATTTTTTAACCTCAAGAACCTGGGTTTACTCATTATCTCCAATATTAATGAAAACTTCGAAAAATTACCTTTTTTAAAATACCACCCAGCGAATATTTCCTTTCAGAAGAGGTGCTAGACATAATAATCGGAGTAGGCTCCTAGTAAAAAAAGTGTTCACACGGTAAAAAAATGTGAAAAAAATAATAAACATCTTAGTAAAACCAATACATTCTTCGCTACACTCACAATCTAAAAAAACCAAATCGAAATTAACAGAAACCGTTATTATATACGTAAATATTCCCGTTTTCTCGAAGTTTTTGCTTTTAGATCCAACATTATTATGATAACCGAAAGAAGAATTTAAAAAAAAAAATTGACCTTCAAAGTGTACCGACCGGAGAAAATTTACAAAATTTGAACACGGACACGCATCGCCTTGTAACGACAAAAATATAATTCGCCACGTTTGATGTAACGTGAAACGCGAGCATAGAAATATATTAATCGCTAACGAACATATTATTAGACGAAGAATATAATGCAATTAGCGCAAGTATACTGTTATGCTGGGCACACATTTTAAACTTGACGGAACTAAACTTTTACGTGCAGAATACCGTACACGCTGCTCAAAATCGTGTTCCGAGAGCGCAATGATTTATCGTTGCTTTCGAAAAACAAAAAAAAAAAAAACAAAAATACATATACACCATTATACCCATTATCCGTATTATACCGCCCGGCCCGTAACAACTTTTTTTTTTTTTTTTTTAGTCTAAAAACACTTGCGCTTTTATTTCGCTCGTAACAATAGTAACATAAATATTCAATAAAATATCTAATATACGATAAACTCGAAAATATTTTAAATAAACACTCAATTACGATATTTTCCCTTCGAAACTTCAATAATAATTTAAATGATACTTACGGTACTTATCCACTCTCTCTCTCTCTCTTTCTGTCTCCGGCCATAATAATAATATAATAGGATATCGTTTTAAGTTTATATTATTGTGCGCGCGCTATTGTGTACCCATTTGTTCTCAATGCAAAAATATAATTTCCCTTAAGCCGTTTGAAAATACATTTGAATTATTACCGAAATTTTAATGAATAACAATAATATATTCAAACGCGTTTGAACGTACCGAATAATACATAACCAAAGCGGTTACTAGGCTTTTACGTATTGAATAATAAGAACGAGATAATTATACGGTCCGATTTTCGACAGCGAGTGGGAATTCGAGAGAAAATGTCCGGTGCAGAGAAATCGCCAAAGTCCGCCATTGTTAACGAGTAATACTATCAAAACAAAAAAAACTCATCCGTTTCCCGAGTTTCAGCTCTTTGGCTAGTCCAGAGGCAGCCGCTATAAAGTGTCTAAATTTAGCCCGAAATAAAAATATACACTCGATCGGGTACGATACAGTGCAATGGTCTATATTTTTTCGGAGGAAATTCGTCCAATAATATTAATTTCCCTAGGTATAGAAGAAAGAAATTCGCTACCAGAAATACGAGATTTATGGTAGAAATACTGTTGACGAAGCCGTTCACTTTTCACAGAAAAAAACAAATCCGGATATGATTCGCATCGTTACTGAACCACTATAATGTAGGTGAGTAGTTATTAGAATGTGCTGCATGCAACGATAAATCATTACGAAAAAAACTGATTTTAAAGAAAATAATATTATAGTCGTGTTTTTCCGTTGTCGTCGAGGTAATCTGCAAGAAATCAACAAGCCGAACAAATAACTAGTGTTCGAACTGTTGAAAACTTCGATAGAAATTTCGAACAGATTGAATGGAAAAATCGGTGCATTTTTACTCGCCAAAAACAAGTGTTTTCTACGAAAGAAAAAATACACATTTGTAAAAACCAATGCATTTGTCGCTACGCTCGGAACGCAAAGCGAAAGTCGATCTCTGTATTGGGTTTTGTTTTAGATTCTGAGCGAAGCGAGGGGTGTTTTGGTTTTACAATGATGTTTATTATTTTAGTTATTTTTTTTTTTATCTGTGTACCACTTTTCTTCTGGAAATCTTCCACCGATTTACAAGTGATCGGAACATTTTTTCTGAAAGGAAATCTCACTGGACAGGTACTTTATGGAGATGGTTTTTTGATTTTCCCAGGAGTTTTCCCACTAAATGGGAAAAACGGGTAGTTAGGTAAATAAATATTATCAAAGAAAATATATAACGCATATGTAATTATTTTACCACAATTTGACACATATATTGTTGATAAAGTAACACTATCAACCGTACTACGAACATTAAATTACCTAAAACAATGGCTGCACCCGTTCCCATTATTCTACGGCAGCTTTATGAAATGCACGTGCAAATCGTACATAAAACATTCGCATCCGTTTGATTTATAATTTTACCGAAAAGTACAACAGAATTCATTGAGGCGTAAATCGAATCAAAAACCAGTTTTGTCTAGGGCAACACGTTCCAAAAGGAACGATTCCAGAAATCAATTATTTGATTAAGGAACGTGGGAATTTACAGAATACGTTATTTTTCAAACCAATACAAACGGAAATAAATTCCATTTTTTTACATATATTTATTACGTTCTTTACACGTGCCAAATCCCGAAACCGCAAAACCCGTATGGAATGGCCTTCGGTAGAAGATTCGCGTCTACTAAACTACAAAACGACTTGCGGTTTAAAAATAATAACGCGTGGAGGAGGAAAGAGGCGGAGAACGGATTCTATTTTTGTCGGAAAAAAAAAAGAAAAAAAGGAACCGAACAAACTGGAACGGATTCCCTATTATCAACGTTAAAGAAACGACAGACAGGAACACTTGGGAGAACGTTACGGCCCGCGGTGGCGCGCCACGTGGAATGTTCATCTTTGTTTACCGTCTGTACAACCGGACAGCGAGAAATTTGAAAGCCCAAAAAAGTCAATTTTTTCCGTTCAACGGGTCGACCGCAAACACGGTAAACCAACGAAATAAACGGGGTCGCAATCAACCGTAGACCGCGATATTGTCATCGTCGGATGCGTTTGAAGCGCATAAGTTGGAGGCGAATTCGCGTAAAACCGATCGAAACCTGCCGACCGACCGTTCAAAACAGTGATAGCCGACCTTTTTTTTTTCTTTTGTACCCTAATTTGTACGCATACGAGATCGGTGACATATTCGGCCACGTTAATTTGCTGATGACCGTTTTTTTTTTTTGTCGCGCTAAATAGCGTACTTTTTTTGTATTTATTCAATTTGCCGACGACCTTTTTTCCCCTCCGTCTACGGTTTGTTAACACGCGCCACGCATTCGTGTCACACGCGCAATGTATTGTCGATAAGCGATTCGTATTTAATTAAAATAATACGAAAATTCAAAGTAAATTTCAAAAACGATATTTTAGACGCAATATCGCCGCGACGGACAACGGAGCGAGGAGTTAAAAAAAAAAAAAAAAAAAAACGGCGATAATATAAATGCGCTGGTTTTTAAAAGGTCGATTTTTTTTTTTTTCGACATTTTATCGACGGAAATTTCCATTGGAAACGTTAACGTGTTTATTGTCCGAATTCGGTGTGAGAAAAAAAAACCCCCCGAAATTCATATTTCGTGCTCTCGCTCCGGTTTACAGTCAATAACCATCGTCGGTCCCAAACATCTTCTGCGTCCGCGAACGTCCGAGCAGAAATGGCGGGCTTTCTGTTCAGAAATCTGTGCGGGCGGTTCCGTCAATCAGCGCGGATCGATAGACGGCTGTCGCCGCGACCACGTTGCGACTTCGTCCGGTACGTCAACGGCACCGGCGGCCACAATCCCCGCGTTTCGGCGCAAACCGACGTCAGCGCCGCCAAGAAGCCGTCAATCCGAGTGACGCTGGTGGAGGGCGACGGCCCCGGGCCCGCCGTCTGCGCGGCCGTCCGGAAAATACTGAAAGCCGCGAAAGTGCCGATCGAGTGGGACCGGCAGACGGTCCGCGTGCGCCGCGACCCGATCACCGACCGGATGGCCGTGAACGCGGAGCTGTTGCAGTCGGCCGCGGACACCCGAGTGGTTTTGCGCGGCCCGGCGACGGCCCCCGCGGACGACGGGTCGCCGGTGTCCACGGCGCTGACGCTACACAAAGCGCTGCGGGCGTCCATCGGCGTTCAGCTTTTCGCGTCCGTCGAGGGCCACTGTCCGTTCGGCTACCTCAGCATGGTCAACGTCCGCGACAACGTGTCCGCCGAATATTCGGAAATCGAACACCTCGTAACGCCCGGTAACAGCACACAACGCCGATAATGTTATAGCGCCAGTCACGCGTGCAAAAAGGATAATTTCTCAACGTATTCGGAAAGAGCTGATACCGGGGACACGGGCGTGCCGCTGTTGTAGGTGGAAAGCTGGGAAGGCGGGAGTGATACGGTGTGATCGATCTATCATAAGACGCCCGTCATATCGGAAAGTATTACCGTTTTCCGGAATTCATTTCCCGGAATATTCAAGAAACGAGCTGCTCCGAGATTTTTCGTTTGTTATTTTTCGACGCCCTTAACCAACTGTCTACTTTGGATTTTCGAACGGCAACCTGTATTGAACATAGACGGAGTATTGGTTGAAATACATTTTGGCGTCGACATTCTCGATTTCCGTCAATCCGTTGACGAGATATTCCGCTTTCGAGTTCGGGTTGGAGGAGAATGGCGGTGCATTATTGACAACTCTTCTCCAACCCGGACTTAAAAGTGGAATAGCTCGTCGATGGACTCGCGGAAATCAACAATTTCAACGCCAAAATGTATTTTAAATAATACTCCGTTCATACGTGGAATGTTACAGGTTGCCGTTTGCAAATCAAAAGTGGCTGGCGGTCTCGCCCCTGAACGATAGATATCTCTCTTACGATAGATTGATCGCCTGTATAAATTTATTCAATTTGAATATCTGGAAGCAACAGTAGACCATTGCTAACAAAAACCTATTGGGAGCCATGTTCGATTACACGTGTTTTGAAAGTCGGTAATATTAACGATTTCCGTCGAATTCGATTTTAAAACTCTTATGCTTAAAAAAAAAAAAAATTAAAAAAAACGGCATTAGACTCATTTTTTCTTTCGACCACCATCAATACGAACGATAACGAACCCCGGGTTTAGTTTTCAAGCATTTCTGTTTAGTCTGACAATTTTATTCACAGAGCGTGTCCAAAACAAGCAAAATTAAAACGCCTATAAACAGCTCAAAAACGGCTCAAACAATTTTAAACGTCCAAAAACGAATTTCTTACTCACCAACTGTGTTATAGGTCTCCTTCCGTTTTTCCAATTGTTTTTTTCCGGGTTTTCTCAATCATTATGAAAACCCGTAGGAAAATCATAAAATAACCTCTACTCGATGCCCCGAGACAACAACGTCTTTCAGAAAAACTGCTACATCCTATACGCGGAGCGAGATTTCTTTTCGAAAAGTTGTTTATAGGCGCGAAAATCGTTCAAAAACACACGTCGCAGTAAAACCGACGCGGTCCGAATCGAAACATAAACATTTCACGACATTTTAACAATTTAACGTAACATTTCAAACGTTCTGTATAATACATTTTTCGCGTATAACATAAATACCGCAGGCGTGGTGCAGTCCATCAAGACGGTGACGCGACGGCAGTCGGAGGAGTTGGCGCGTTTCGCGTTCGATTACGCTGTGGCCCACGGCCATCGCCGCGTCACGACCCTGCACAAGGCAAACGTGATGCGCATGTCGGACGGCACGTTCCTGAAAGCTTGCCGACGGGTGAAATGCGATTACCCGGGCTTGGAGTACAACGAGGAAAGGCTGGACAAGTTTTGTTTGCAGGTGGTCAACGAACCGTGCCAGTACGACGTGCTTCTTACGCCCAGCCTGTACGGGGCGATCGCCGGCGCGGCCGTTTCCGCGATGGCCGGCGGCCCGGCCACGGTCCCGTACGCGGCGTTCGGGCCCGACGTGGCCGTGTTCGGTACCATGTACGACGGGCCCGCGGTCTGTCGGAACGGCGTCATCGCCAAGCCGGTGATCAACCCGACGGGCCTAATCAGGTCGGCCACCTGGATGCTCCAACACCTGGGCATGCCCGAAATTCGGCTGCGTATCGAGAAGGCCCTGGACGAGACCATCCGGCAGGGCGTCAAGACCGGCGACATGGACGGCGTGGCGTCCTGCGAACAGTTCACCAACGCCATCGTCAAGAACGTCGCTCGTCAAGAACGGTGAAATCGCGGACGCGCCGACCGCGCGATGTTTTCTCGCGGTGAGTCGACGGGTCCCCGCGGCTACCGCACGGAGACCGCCGAGCAATTCATTTTTGGCGTTTTCTTATCGCTATAACAATTGTCTGCGCGCGTTTATAATCGTCCGCAAATATATTATAAAAATGTCCGCGTACCGAAATCGGTCGACCGTCACGTTAGTGCGCGCGTTGCAGATTGACGCGTTTGCCGTAACCGTCGCGGGGCGGAGTTCCTCCGAAGTTCAACGTTCGGCGAAACGACGGCCGTCCGCGCAGACGGCTCGGACGCGCTCGGATCTGCTCCGCGGTCCAGTCAATCCGAAACGCGATCGGAGCGATACGCGCGTGCTTGTTCAATACGTTTTTAGATTCCGAGCGGACCGGAGGAGCTTACGGTTTTCCGACTTTTCTACCGGAAGTCCCGCTCCGATTTTCAACGACGGCGCTTTTTCCGAGGGGAAATCGCACAGGGGAAGGTACTTCGAGTAGGTCGTTTTTTTTTTTTTTCTATGTTCCCCGGAGTTTTCCCGATAAATGGGCAAAACGCGGGAATACCGGGAGAACGGTAAAACGAGTACAACATTATTAAAGCAAACGTTCAATGCGTATGCGATTATTTCACCGAAATATGTCCACATGATTTATGTATATTGTTCGTAACACCGTCGGCAGAAATCCGCTCAGAATCGTTTTCTTCATTGGCAATGGTTAATGTACGTTAATCGTTTAATCGTACATTATATTTCCGTCTGTATCCTACCTTCCCAACTTCCCACCCACAAAAATGGCTGCACCCGTCCCCATTATCGTCGGACAGCGTTCTTAATAAAATACTGTTTATGGCCGGTACTCGTATATTCGTTATCGCGGAAAACGATGATAATTCAAGTTCGATTCTGCTGTCGTTCCGCTTGATTTTTGAACTTTATTACGCTCAAGTTCTGTTTATATTGTATAGACCACATGGCCGATACGATAAACAATATTATTAGTGGCGGAGTCAACTCCGGAGACGTTTTTTTCTCGGGAATATTGTTTTCGAGAAGAGAAAACCCCGATGTCCGATGTGTACTGATATCCTCGGTGTCGTAGCGAATTTCGATGAATAAAGGTCTGATACCGGAGACCCGTGAAGTCGACGGCCGGAGCAAAATTGCCGGTACTTATCGAGAGAAAACGCATCGCACTGCGGAAATACCTATTTATGACTCTAATTTAATTTAAAACGAATGCATTATGTACAACCGCATAAAAACGTGTTGCGCGCACGTACCCAATGGAAAATCGGGTCGTTACCGGGCTACGCGCCGAAGTCCCGAAACGTGTATACTCTTGACAACACGCGGTGACGATAACCTAACGATGGAATTGTTATAGTTTTTTTTTTTTAAACGTTATCGTCTCGCCCGTGTACGCCCGTTTTCACTAACAGCGTTTCGATAAAAATTTATTGTCTTTCGCTTTCACCGTGGCCTTTGTGCGCCTCGCGTTCCACAAACCCATGAACCGATCGCGGTTCAATCTTCGGAACGGGATCGCGAACCCCCGGCACCGCACCCCCCCACC